AACAATATATCTTGCACATTTTGCAATAATCGGTTATTGAATTAAATTTGTAGTTTAATTTTTTATGCAACAAAATACTAAAAATACTAAGTAATTGCAAAAGCACTGAACAATCTAAATACGAACATTTTAGGCTATGCTTCAATATTTAATAGTAGTGAATATGTGTTAACTTTTAAATTTCATAAAATTTTCCGTTGGTTACAATGAAAATGGTGAGTGTGCAATTCATTGTCAATGCCTCTTACGAATTACGTTGAAAAAAAATTACGAACTCAAAATTTATTAGCAAACATAAAAAATCACAAAATCCTTCTGCAAATACTAGAGTAAGAACAAATATGTTTTGAAAGGTGAATAATGNAAGTGGAATGTGTATGCAAATCTAAATAAAAATTATATAAAAATGCGAATATATGTAAGCAACGCAAACGTTGTAAGTACATCTGTAGTGTTAGTGAGTGCTCTTGACATACCAGATGAATTAAATAATCTTTTAAAATTACTGAAATTTAAACAACAAAAAGTTTGCTACAAATTTTGTTAAAAAATATGTATTAATGCCATGTTAGCAATAATGCTTGCTCGAATTTATTTTTCTACTTTCTTTTTTAACTGTTCAGTTCTTTTTTTTTTGTTTGGAGCACATTCGTATGCATAAATGTATGTAATTGTTTTCAAAAATTGCATTGTATAATTAAGATATACATACTTAATTTTATTAATAAACTGAACTCTTTAATACTCTATTTTATATTACATCAACAAGTTTTACATACACATTTGCCGTATTTTTTTTTTAATTTTTGCTATACCATAAACTGGTTTGATTACCGTTTTAACTTTTTGCTAATTCCTTAAATTTCGTTAAATTGTCGATATTGTATGATTAGTGTTACATGTACTTATACATAGCCGCGCAAAATATTACTAACATGAATGCAATAAATTATATGCAATACGATTCTGGCCAAAAGCTTCTTGTTTAGTTTTCTTGTTCGCTTTCTTTGTTTGTTGTTAAATCTTTCTAGCATTAGTATGTTATTAATGTACATACATTTACTTTTATGCTTCTCTGAATGAGTTTATGTATATGTATTTATATAATTGTTCAAACCTAATTAGAATTGCACCCAATTTGCGTTTGTTGCATTCTGCTGCTGTTGTGCCTGGCCTTGACCACTATAAAAGAAATAAACTTAAATTTGTACTTTTTTTTTAAGAATTTCAATTTTACCCTGCCGAGGCATAATCCGTCCACTCGGTGCCTGGACCACCAGG